CAGGTGTGTCCCAGGTAGACACGGTCGAGCCAGTCGAGGTTGCTGCTGAGTCTGGTCCTGCTGCGGGTGCTGAGCCTGGGGGTGCTGCTGCTGGGGGTGCTGAGCCTGGGGGTGCTGAGCCTGGGGGTGCGAGGCCGGGGGGTGCTGAGTCTGGGGGTGCTGAGCCGGGGGGTGCTGAGCCGGAGGGTGCTACGTCAGGAGCTGCTGAGCCTGGGGGTGTTGGGCCTGGAGGTGCGGAGCCTGCGCCTGCTGGACCTGGGGGCTCTCCGGTTCTTCCGTCTCGGCGGGAGCCGCTCTCTCCACAGGAGCTGCGCGAGTGGTTTGCTCGCCGCTGGAGGCGTGCTACTGGAGCTGGAGCTTCTTTGCCTGCTGAGGGTGCTGCCGGTCCCGGAGCTGCTGGGCCTGCGGGTCCTACTGGAGCTGGAGCTACTGAGTCTGGGGGTGCTGAGTCTGGAGCTGCTGAGCCTGGAGGTGCTGAGTCTGGAGCTGCTGAGCCTGGGGGTGCTACGTCTGGAGCTGCTGTGCCTGGGGGTGCTGAGTCTGGAGCTGCTGAGCCTGGGGTTTCTCCTGCTGTTGCGTCTCGCCGGGAGCCCCTCTCTCCACAGGAGCTGCGCGAGTGGTTTGCTCGCCGCTGGAGGAGTGCTGCTGGAGCTGGAGCTTCGTCGACCGTCGAGGGTGCTGGTGCTGCCGGTCCCGGAGCTACTGGGCCTGCGGGTCCTACTGGAGCTGGAGCTGCTGAGGGTGTTGGTGCTGAGACTACTACTGTCTGTCTTGGCGGTGGTTCTGCTGCTGGTGCTGCTGGAGGTCCTGCCGCTGGAGGTGTTGGTGGCGCTGGTGCTGTCGCTGAGGGTGCTGGTGCTGTCCCTGCTGAGTCTGGAGCTGCCGCGCGGCCTCGGCCGTACTTCGTTCCGCTCCTACAGCAGGTTCTTGGTCTTTCTCCTTCGGTAGAGTGTCCACAGCCTGTCCAGTCGCAATCACTGTTGGAGCCTTCCTCTCCTCTGCCTGCTCCCTCCCCTTACACTGGTCCTACTGGAGGTCTTGCTGAGCGTCGTGAGCCTGCGTCTCGTCCCGCGTCGCCTGTTCGTGCTGCTCGCGCTAGTGGTCGCGGTTCGCGTTAGCGTCCTCCTCCTGTCCCTGGCACACACCGGATGTCTCTGCGTCCGTCCACTGCTCCTCTGCGTGTTCCTTTGCCTTCTCCTCCTGAGTCCTCTCTTCCTGCGCTTGCCGACCCTGAGTCGGACTCTCTTCGCGCTGCCAGTCCTACTGTCAGGCGTCTGCTTGCTACTGTCGTCACTGACCCCTCTTTTGAGTCCACTGCTGCGTCTGCTCTAGTCGCTGAGCTCGTTGACTTTGCTGCTCGCTGTCGTCTCGACTACGCTGCTAGTCTTGTTGCTGAGTCTGCGTCTGTCTGTCCTCCGTCCGTCGGGGGTGAGTGTGCTCTTGGCACGGACGTCCTAGAGGACAGGCAGGAGGAGTTACAGTGTCTAGCGGCTGCTTCACCTCATCTCGCGTCCGTACTGCTTGCCCCTGAGGGAGACCCGGATGCACTAGACATCCCGACTCCGCGTTCTTACGCGGAGGCCGTAGAGGGTCCCTACTCCTCTCAGTGGCAGGCAGCTATGGATGCAGAGATGGCTTCCTGGAAGTCCACAGGCACCTACGTTGACGCGGTTCCCCCTCCTGGGGCGAACATCGTCAGTGGCATGTGGATCTTCAGGGTGAAGCGGCCGCCGGGCTCTCCACCTGTCTTCAAGGCGCGGTACGTTGCTCGTGGCTTCAGTCAGCGGCAGGGAGTTGACTACTTTCAGACCTTCTCTCCCACCCCGAAGATGACCACTCTTCGGGTGCTGCTGCACATAGCCGCTCAGCGCGACTACGAGCTTCACTCTCTCGACTTCAGCACTGCGTTCCTGCAGGGTAGCCTGCACGAGGAGATCTGGCTGCGCCATCCACCTGGCTTCACTGGGACTTTCCCTCCTGGCACCCAGTGGAGCCTCCGACGGCCAGTCTACGGTCTCCGCCAGGCACCGCGTGAGTGGCACGACACACTGAGGACTATGCTTGCGGCTCTTGGGTTTGCTCCTTCTACTGCTGACCCGTCGCTGTTTCTGCGCACCGACACCTCACTGCCGCCGTTCTACATCCTCGTGTACGTCGACGACTTGGTCTTTGCCACAGCGGACACTGCTGGACTCGCCTACGTGAAGTCCGAACTGCTGAAGAGACACACGTGCACAGACCTGGGTGAACTGCGCAGCTACCTTGGCTTGCAGATCACTCGGGACAGAGCACGCCGCACCATTACCTTGACTCAGTCACACATGGTGCAGCAGGTCCTTCAGCGCTTCGGCTTCACGTACTCCTCGCCTCAGGCCACTCCTCTGCCTACTCGCCACTCACTCTCAGCTCAGCCTTCGGATGAGTCCGTAGAGTCGAGTGGTCCGTATGCAGAGCTTGTTGGCTGCCTCATGTACCTGATGACCTGCACTCGACCTGACCTTGCATACCCTCTGAGCATCCTTGCACGATATGTTGCTCCTGGGAGACACCGACCAGAGCACATGGCTGCAGCGAAGAGGGTATTGCGCTACCTGTGCAGTACGTCGGGCATGGGGCTAGTGCTTGGAGGGCGGAGTCCAGTGGTCCTTACAGGCCACGCGGACGCTTCTTGGGCTGACGACCAGGCTACGCAGCGGTCGTCACAGGGTTACACCTTCAGCCTTGGTTCCGGCTCTGTCTCGTGGCGGTCTACTCGCTCGTCTTCAGTTCTCGGCTCCAGTTGTGAGGCTGAGATCTACGCCGGGGCCATGGCTGCACAGGAGCTTCGCTGGCTCACCTACCTGCTGACTGACCTTGGAGAGCCGCCTCGTTCTCCTCCAGTGCTGTACGTAGACAACAAGGCCATGCTGGCCTTGTGTCGAGAGCAGCGCTTGGAGCACAGAACGAAGCACATTGCTCTCCGCTACTTCCTTGCTCGTGAGCTACAGCAGCGTGGACAGTTGCGGCTTGCGTACGTGGCCTCTGAGGCCAACACTGCTGATGTGTTCACCAAGGCACTCGCGCCTTGTGACCATCAGCGCTTTTGCACCCAGCTGGGTCTTGTGCCTGTCTTGCCTCACTTGCTCTCCTCTTGACTTTACTTGTACTGTGACATATATATACCTGCTCTTGCTTGTCTAGTTTTATATATATATGTCTGTACTCCTGCATGTGAACTGGCCTCTGGCCCTGCTCTTGTGCTCGGACTGTGTGGTGACTTTGTGATCCACCCTGAGCTTGCTTTGCTTTGCTTGACTGGTCTTGTGACCCCTTGTTCTCCCCCACTTTGCCTATGGGGGTGTGTCAAACATTATACATGTTATGCTTGTGTAGGCTACAGTGGGTTAGCCTATAGGGGGTACACAATTCTAGGGTTTACTACTTGTACTCATTTCACTTCTAGTTCATTCATTCCTGTTCGCTTATTCTCACAGCAGGGCGCGACGTGCGGGTTGCAGCAGAGCGCGACGCGCGGGGGCAGCATAGCGCGACGCGCAGGGCGCCGTAGGGCGCAACACGCAGGGCAGCAGAGCGCGACGTGCGGGCAGCAGCAGAGTGCAACACGCTGGGCAGCAGAGTGCAACACGCGGGGCAGCAGAGTGCGACACGCGGGCTGCCGTAGGGCGCGTCACACAGGGCAGCACGGCGCATGTGCAGGCTGCAGCAGGGCACGACGCACGGGCTGCAGCAGGACGCGGGGCAGGGCGTGCGCGGGGCAGCACGACGCAGGGTAGGGCAGGGCGTGCGCGGGACAGCGCGACGTGAGGCAGGGCAGGGCATGCGTGGGGCAGCGTGACGTGGGGCAGGGCAGGGCGTGCGCGGGGCAGTGCGACGCAGGGCAGGGCAGGGCGTGCGTGGAGCAGCGCGACGCAAGGCAGGGCAGGGCGTGCGCGGGGCGGCGCGACGCAAGGCAAGGCAGGGCGTGCGTGGGGCAGCGTGACGCAAGGCAGGGCAGGGCAGGGCGCGCGCTGACGGCGCAGCGCAGGGCAGGGCGTGGGGTAATGCGATAGCCGCAGTCGGTCACTAGGTAATGGTGGGCCCGAAAAAAAAAAAAAAAAACGGTCCTACGGACCTACTGCTCTGCAACCATGTCAGAAACTAACGAGCACGAATGATTGCATTGACATCAAACAGAGTACAAGTACTAACCCTAATTGGGTTGTACCCCAAATAGGCTACCCCACTACAGCCTACACAGCATAAGCAGCATTATAGTTTGACATCCCTTGCCAGCACGCCACGAAACCGAATATTGGCAGCAGCTACAGTATTGGTGGCTGCACTAGGTCTAACCACAAGACTTTGCGAACATTTGTTAGTGTTCGAAAAAAAACCACACTTATGATGCACGGTAAAATTTTTAAAACCTGATGTTACACTGCTCTATCAGTGTAACGGAAAAGTACACACTGCCCATAAGGGTTTTGAAAAAGCTACATTGCCAATCGTGAGTAGGCCAAATCCAAAACGAAGCCCTGATGGATGAAAGCAATGTACGCCCTTACACGAGTAAAGGAGGGGGGAGGGGGGGAGAAGGGATGGCATGTGTTCATTTCCCCCCAGAATCTAGTATTGCAATGGCACAAATGGTCCTTTGCCACTATGCACATTCATTTATCGCATGCACCCTGAGTCACGATGTTCTCTCGTTGCTGCATTACTCATATATTTTTGCCATGAGACACCAGGTTAAGGCCTACATATACCCTAAAACTTCAAGATGGCCAAATAGTTTTGCCATGAAATATCAGGGCACGTTTTTACCTTTTAAGAGTTGCCCTGAGGCCTCAGGATGCCCTAAACCCTAGCACAGACCCTGGTTCAAACAAACGCCTCAAGAAGTGAATAAGAATCAATCTTGAATGCGATATTCCTGAATGTGAAGCCAATTACTTACGTACGTATCATGTTGAAACCATGAATTTGCTCGACCGTCCCAGCATTGTCGATAAATACCGCGGATGGTACGGCCGAACATAAGATTCAGGTATCAACATGAACGAATCCAATTGTACAAGTGAATGACAAGGTATAAGTGTCAAAACATGTTTGTATGTTCTTAGTTCTTCTAGGCTACAGTGAGGTGCTCAGTATATAGTACAACCCCGGTTAGAGTTTCATACTTGTATCTCCCTATTGCTAGTCATCCATTATTCCTGTCTTCCTACTTTAACATAGTTTCATAGCATGATCGTTCCTAGGGCCCACCGATCGTTCCGCCCTGCCCTGCCCGTCTATATTTTTCGGCCTTGCCCTTAGGCGCGCTGTGCTGCCCTACCCTGCAGTCCGCGCTTGCCTCTGCAGCCCGCACTCTCCCCTGCAGCCGTGCTCGCCCCTGAACCCCGCGCTCGACCCTACTGCCCACGCTCGCCCCTGTAGCTGCACTCGCCCCTATAGCCCGCACTCGCCCCTGCAGCCCGCGCTCGCCCTTGCAGCCGTGCTCGCCCCTGGTGCCTGCGCTCGACCCTGTAGCCCGCGCTCGTCCCTGCAGCCTCGCTCGCCCCTGCAGCTCGCGCTCGCCCCTGCTGCCCGCGCTTGCCCCTGCAGCCGCCCTCGCCCCTGCAGCCCGCGCTCGTCCCAGCAGCCGCGCTCGCCTCTGCAGCCTGCGCTCGCCCCTACAGCCCGCCCCCTGCTGCCCGTGCTTGACTGTGCAGCCCGCGCTCTCCCCAGCAGCCGCGCTCGCCCCTGCAGCCTGCGCTCGCCCCTGCAGCCAGCGCTCGCCCCTGCTGTAGGGGTGAGCATGGCTGTAGGGGCGAGCGCGGGCTGCCGGGGCTAGTGCAGGCTGCAGGGGCGAGCGCGGCTGCAGGGGCGAGCGCAGGCTGCAGGGGCGAGCGCGGGCTGCAGGGGAGAGCGTAGCTGCAGGGGCGAGCGGGGGCTGCAGGGGCGAGCGCGGCTGCAGGGGCGAGCGCGGCTGCAGGGGAGAGCGCGGGCTGCAGAGTCGAGCGCTGGCTGCAGGGGCGAGTGCTCCCCTTGCAGCCAGCGCTCGCCCCTGCAGCCCCCGCTCGCCCCTGCAGCTACGCTCTCCCCTGCAGCCCGCGCTCGCCCCTGCAGCCCGCGCTCGCCCCTGCAGCCGCGCTCGCCCCTGCAGCCTGCGCTAGCCCCGGCAGCCCGCGCTCGCCCCTACAGCCATGCTCACCCCTACAGCCCGCACTCGCCCCTGCAGCCACGCTCGCTCCTGTAGCCCGCGCTCGCCCCTGCAGCCAACGCTCGTCCCTGCTGCTCACGCTCGACTCTGCAGCCCGCGCTCTCCCCTGCAGCCGCGCTCGCCCCTGCAGCCGCGCTCGCCCCTGCAGCCCCCGCTCGCCCCTGCAGCTACGCTCGCCCCTGCTGCCCGCGCTCGCCCCTGCAGCCTGCGCTCGCCCCTGCAGCCGCGCTCGCCCCTGCAGCCTGCGCTAGCCCCTGCAGCCCGCGCTCGCCCCTACAGCCATGCTCGCCCCTACAGCCCGCGCTCCCCCCTGCAGCCACGCTCGCTCCTGTAGCCCGCGCTCGCCCCTGCAGGCCGCGCTCGCCCCTACAGCCCGCCATGCCCTTAGGCCTGAGAGCTGCCCTGACCTGCAGCCCGCAAGCTCCGCTGCCCTGCCCTTAGGCCCGCGCGCCGCCCTGCCCTTAGGCTTGCACGCCGCCCTGCCCTTAGGCTCACTGCTGTGCAGCTGTTGCTGCTACTGCGTTGGTGCTGCCACCTAAGATGCTGCTGCCGCCTGCGCCACTGCTGCCACTGCCTATCATGGCCACTATCACGGTCGTAACAGCGTCTAGGGGTGGACAGCAGTAGCCACTGCCTCATCCAAACACTCTATTGCCACAGCAGCTTCGTGAGTGGGTTAATCAGCGAGGCCGCTTTGGTCCTGGAGCTTGGGATTACTTGCGTGCGGGCGGTAGTGGACAGCAGCGACGCGTCTCTAGTAGTGTCGGTGCTGCTGCTCTAGGTGCTAGTGAGTCTGCTTCCGCTCTAGATGCTATTGCATTTGCTGCCGTAGGTGCTAGTGAGTCTGCTGCCTCAGCTGACGCCTTGCACACTTTCACACTTGACTCTGGCGCGTCTCGTTGCTTCTTTCATGATTGCACCACAAACACACCACTTGCTGCACATGTCCCAGTCTCACTGGCTGACCCCTCTGGGGGCCTCGTCGTCGAATGAGCCTCCACTGCCCTCCCGTGTCAGGCAGTACCCTCCGGCTCTCTTTCAGGCCTCCACTTCCCCTCGTTCTTGACGAACTTGGTGAGCAATGCAGTCCTTCAGGATGTTTGGGTTGATGCCTTTATCCTTGGAGGGCAGCGTGTGGCGATCTGTACATGCTCCCGCACCGGACGTCACCTTGCTACGTTCATTCGGTAGCCTGGGTCCAGTCTGTACACCCTGACCACTGCGTCTGCACATGTGGCTGCGTCATGTTAGGTGGCTGCGTCGAGCTAGGTGTCTGCGTCTGGTCAGTTCGCTACGCCGTGCTCGTGTCGGGTACACTCCCATCAGACTCTTCTCTGGCACCACCGACTCGATCACCCCTCTCTGCCGCATCTCCACATAATGCACTCCCGACTCCTTGTCTCTAGCCTTCCTAGGTCCCTGGCCCCCCTCCCACACTCGCCTGCCCCGCTGTGCCTTCCCTGCGTCGAGGGGCGGCAGCTTGCCGCTCCTCACTCCTCGTTTCCTCCGACCACTACTCCTCTGCAAACTCTCCACATGGACGTGTGGGGCCTGGCCCTTGTCAGTGGGACGGACCAGGAGCGCTACTTCATGCTGGTCGTTGACGACTACACGCGCTACACCACCGCCTTCCCCTTCCACGTCAGCGGTGATTTCATCCCCCAGATCCGTGCTACTCGTCGCCAGTTGCGCGAGCGGTTCCAGCGGGACCTTCCAGTCCTGCGTCTGCACTCTGAGAGGGGCGGTGAGTTCTCTTCCGGCCTCCTTGCGGAGCTATGTCAAGACGAGGGCATCCGCTAGACGTTTACGCTTCCAGCCTCTCCGCAACAAAATGGGATTGCTGAGCATCGCATTGGCTTGCTCATGGAGGTTGCTTGCACCTCCATGATCCATGCGGCTGTTCCCCATTTTGTATGGCCGTTTGGGGTCCGATACGCCGCAACTAAACCTTTGGCCCCATGTCTCGTTGCCCGAGACCTCGCCCACACTCCGTTTCAGGTCTGGGGCGCGCTCTCCCTTGTTCGCGATACCACCGCGAGCAAGCTCTCTCCTCGCACTCTACGTTGCGCCTTCTTGGGCGTCCCTACTGACAATCCGCCATGGCAGTTTTACTACCCTCGCACGCTTCGAGTCCTGTCCTCCCAGGACGTCACTTGTGACGAGTCTGTAAGGAGGTGGTGGAGGTGCTACTGGAGGTGCTATTGGAGGTGCTGGAGCTAGAGGTACTAGAGGTACTGGAGGTGCTGTAGCTGCTTGTCCTAGAGGTGCTCATCCTAGAGGTGCTAGAGCTGGTGGTGCTGCTGGTGCTGGAGGTGCTAGAGGTGCTGCTGGTGCTGGTAGCGCTAGAGTTGTAGGTACTGGAGTTACTGGAGGTGCTGGAGCTGTTGGTCATGGAGGTGCTCGTACTAGAGGTGCCAGAGGTGCCGGAGCTGGAGGTGCTGCTTATGTTAGAGGCGCTGGAGCTGGAGGTACTGGAGGTACTAGAGGTGCTGGAGCTGCCGGAGCTAGTGGTGCTGGAGGTGGTGGAGGTGCTACTGGAGGTGCTAGAGCTGGAGGTACTGGATGTGCTAGAGCTGCTGACGGTACAGGTACAGTGCCGCGCCCACCGTTTTTCTACCCGCAGCAGCAGTCGTCCCTGCCACCGCCTGAATCGGCCCTTCGCCAGGTTAGTCATAGTTGCCATCTGGCTCCCCACTGCCTGCTCCTTCTCCTTACGCTAAGCTGCCAGACTCCCTAACTGAGCGTCGTTAGCCTGCGTCTCATGCCTTCATACCTGTTCGTGCTCGTCGGGTCGCCCGTCCTCGTCCTCCTGCTGTCCCAGGCACTCACGCTATGGCACTTCATCCTTCCTCTGATCCACAGTGTGTTGCCCTGCTGTCTCCTTCGGCGTCCTCTCTTCTTGACGTGCCTGACCCTGAGTACAACCTTGCTCGTGCTGCCAATCCTACTGTCATGTTACAAGACGAACTTAGCTAGGAACGGGTTTAACTAACGGGCCTAGGCTACTAAGCCTAGGCCAAGCGGGTGTCGAGAGTGTTGTGCCAAGGAGGATTGAGAATGGTTGGGTTCACTATAGGACCAAAGGTACATATAGCAAACAAACAGGTGCACCACCAAGCAAACAATCAGATAACTACACTTTAGTAACTACAGCAAGCAGGGTATATTAAATATAACTTTAACATGTCACTCGTCTCCTCACTACTGCCGCCACTGTCCCTGACTTTGATTCTACTGCTGCGTTTGCCCTCGTCACTGAGCTAGTAGACTTTGCTGCTAGGAGTCATCTTGACTATGTGGCGAGTCTTGTTACTGAATCTGAGCCTGTCTATCCTCCGCCCGTCGGGTGTGAGCCTACCCTTGGCAGTGACGTCCTTGAGGACAGGCAAATTGAGCTTGAGTGTCTCGCGGACGTTTTACCTCGTTTTGCATCCTTGCTGCTTTGACCTGAGAAAGACCCGGATGCACTTGACATCCCTACCTAGCGCTCTTACGCTGAGGCGATCGCAGGTGAGCACTCCTCTCAGTGGTGGACAGCCATGGACGAAGAGATGGCTTCCTGGAAGTCCACAGGCACCTACGTCGACGAGGTTCCTCCTCCTTGGGCGAACATAGTCGATGGCATGTGGCTTTTCTGAGTGAAGCGGCCGCCGGGTTCTCCGCCTGCCTTCAAGGCGCGTTATGTTGCTCGAGGCTTCAGTCAGCGACAAGGGGTCGACTTCTTCCAGATCTTCTCTCCCATCCCGAAGATGACTACTATTCGGATGTTGCCGCTCGTCAAAGCATAACGTGACTACGAGCTACACTCCCTAGACTTCTCCACAGCTTTCTTGCAGGGCAGCCTTCACGTGGAGATCTGACTGCGCCGCCCACCTGGCTTCACTGGGTCGTTTCTTGAGGTTACCCAGTGGAGCCTCTGGCGGCCAGTCTACGGTCTCCGCCAGGCGCCCCGCAAGTGGCACGACACACTAAGGCGGACACTTGTGGCTCTTGGGTTTGCTCCTTCCTCTGCTGACTCGTCGCTGCTTCTACGCATCGACACTTCTCTGCCGCCGTTCTACGTTCTCGTGTATGTCGACAACTTGGTTTTTGCTACTGCTGACAGTGAGGCGCTGACCCTAGTGAAATCGGAGCTATAGAGAGACACACCTACGCTGACCTAGGTGAGCTGCGGAGCTATCTTGGCTTGCAGACCACCCGAGATAGAGCACGGCGCACCATCACCTTGACTAAGTCACACATGGTGCACCAGGTCCTTCAGTGCTTCCGCTTCCAATACTCCTCGACACAGCCCACTGCTCTGCCTACTAGCCACTCGCTCTCAGCTCCACCTTCTGACGAGTCCGTTGAGCCGAGTGGTCTATATCTAGAGCTTGTGGGTTGCCTTATGTACCTGATGACGTGCACACGACCTGACCTCGCATACCTTCTCAGCCTCATGGCTCGCCACATGGTTCCCGGTAGACTCTGAAAGGTGCACTGGGATGCTGCGAAGGTGCTTCGTTACTTGTGCAGTACATCAGGCATGGGGCTCGTGCTTGGAGGAGAGGGTTCATTGGTACTCACACAACACTCCGACGCTTCTTGGGCTGACGACCAGGTGACTCAGCGTTCGTCATAGGGTTACACCTTCAATATTGGCTTTGGTTCTATCTCGTGGAGGTCCACTCCTTTTTCTGTGCTTGGTCCTATCTGTGAGGCCGAGATCTATGCTGGGCTATGGCTACATAGGAGCTATGCTGGCTGACCTACTTGCTGACTGATTTGGGGAAGCGACCTCGTTCTCCTCCAGATCTGTACGTTGACATCAATGCCACGTTGGCCTTGTGTCACGAGCAGAGACTGGGAGCACATATTGAAGCACATATTGAAGCACATTGCTCTTCCCTACTTTCTTGCTCGAGAGCTGCAGCAGCGTGGTCAGCTTCGCCTTTCCTACATGGCCTCTCGGCAAACACTGCTGATGTCTTCACGAAGGCCCTAGGGTCTGGTGATCATCAGTGTTTTTGCTCTGCTCTAGGGCTTCTGCCTGTTCTGTTAATGTTAGGTTTGCGGCAGCCATGGCTAGCGAGTGAAGTAACGAGGAAAAAAAAAGTTGAACTAGAGAAAGAGTCGAGAGACATTTGAAAGATAGGGTTGGGAAGCCCCAACTGAAACTAGGGCGTGTTCAATGCAGAGATAAACTGCTAAGTGAACCTGAGATGAACCAGAATTGAAACTAAGTCTAATAGTGGCTGAAAAAATAATATAA